TTGTGTTAATGGTGTAAAATGGGGAAACGATCGTTGACAATCTGGTCTATGTCGACCTCTGTGGGGAAGATTGGTTGCGAACTATGGTATTTTGGTCTTCTAATTTCTCAATCGCTGGTGAAATACACCCCCAGAATGTCCGAACTTTTCAAATTTTGGTATTTTTTATTTTTTTAACCATTTCTTTTTGGAAAGTGAAATACAAGGCAAACAATTTTTTTTTTCCTTGTTTTAGTTGCTGGACTTATTTGANGTCGACCTCTGTGGGGAAGATTGGTTGCGAACTATGGTATTTTGGTCTTCTAATTTCTCAATCGCTGGTGAAATACACCCCCAGAATGTCCGAACTTTTCAAATTTTGGTATTTTTTTATTTTTTTAACCATTTCTTTTTGGAAAGTGAAATACAAGGCAAACAAATTTTTTTTTCCTTGTTTTAGTTGTTGGACTTATTTTANCAAATTTTGGTATTTTTTATTTTTTTAACCATTTCTTTTTGGAAAGTGAAATACAAGGCAAACAATTTTTTTTTTCCTTGTTTTAGTTGCTGGACTTATTTGATTTTTGGGTAGTTTGTTTTCTTATTTGTTGCAAAACATTGCCCCTATCTATATTTTAGCCCTTATAATGCCCAGAATGTTTGTATGATTTTATTTTTAGTCCAATGATTATGATTTTTTATATTTTAACAAAAAAGATGTATTCTTTGTTGTGATGATATCTAATGCATGCTTGTTCCTATAATATGTTTTATTTTGGTAATTCAAAGCGCTCCATAACTAGCGCTACTTGTTGGCTGTGGATGTTTACTGTAATTTGTGTGAGTCACAGTTGTTATGGATGAAGACAATGATTTCAGTGTGTCATTGGTGGTTGTTTTGGATAGTGTCCTCTTTGATATGGTTATGATATGCTCATGTCTGATTGCTATAATTGTAAATTTGCTAGAATTTCATGAAATTCAAAACAACAATAGGATCACAAGCTTAGTCACGTGAACCCGACTACAAATAGAGCATCTTACTAGACTGATAGGTGAAAGTAATATAACACGCTACAATCAACTTATGATGGACCAACAATGTTTTTCTATATTGGTCAAACTAGTTGAACAAGTTGGTGAGCTCAGTCGTACAAAGAATATTAGCATTAAAGAGATGGTAGCTATGTTCTTAAGCATTATTAGTCATGATAATAAGAATAGACAAGTAAAATTCAGTTTCATTAGATCCAGTGAGACGGTTGGCAAGTATTTCAATGCAGTGTTGTTGGAATTTCTTAGGTTACATCGATTACTGCTTGCAGTCCCTGATCCAATCACAGATGAATGCATTGACCACAAGTGGAAGTTTTTTAAGATATTCTAAGTTTTTTTAAAAGTATATCCACATTTGAGTTGTCACGTCATGTAGTATGTAGTTAGCGAAATATCAGTTGATAATATATTTGTTTCCTATTGTATAGAACTGTGTTGGGGCTTTAGACAACACTCAAATTAGAGTAAAAGTGTCACTTGTGCACCAAGCAAGATATAGAACAAGGAAGGGACAAATTGCAACAAATATGTTAGGTGTATGTGCGCCTGACATGAGAATCATTTGTGTTTTACTTGGTTGGGAGGGATCAATGGCAGATTCTAGAATCCTTTTCGACGCAGTTAGAAGACGTACTGGGTTACGTGTTCAACAAGGTAAGCTATAGTACAAATTTTTAGCATTAGTCATTTTTTTTTTGGAAATTGTTTACTAATAGGTATATACACAATTAAGACAGGTACATATTATTTATGTGATGCTGGGTATACCAATGGTGAGGGTTTCTTATCTCCTTTTAGGGGTCAACGATACCATCTTGACGAATTTGGAAGTGAAAGGGCAGTTTCCTCTGCCAGGAATGTTATTGAGAGGTGTTTTTCTATCCTTAAGATGCAATGGGCAATCCTTCGAACTGTCTGTTTCTACCCAGTCCCCACACATAACAGAATTATTGTTGCTTGTTGTCTGTTACATAATTTCATTAGAAATGAGATGTCAGTTGATCCATTGGAAGACCACATACCTGAGTATGTTCTTAATGAGGAAAATGGAAATACCAACACCAATGTAGTTGACATTGTTGAGACCTCTACTGCATAGACTACTTGGAGGACTCAGTTGGCAAATGAAATGTACGAGGCATGACAGATGGGTAGATAAATTTTTTTTTTGGGGGGGGGTGTGGTTATTTTGCGACCTTCAATTAGTAGACTAAATGACTAATATATTTGTAATGTGTTATTGGTACTTCGTTTGGTTTGATTAATGGTTGTCCTGAATGTTATGTAATACAATTTATTTGATACTGTTATTATGGAATATATTCTACATTTGTCATATTGTAATTGATTTTACATTACATATTCGCTTTAGACTGATAAATACATGTGTGTGTGTGTATATATATGTTCGTGTTCATCATAGAATATGGTTAGTATTGGTAGCTCGCATGTTATGAGTGGTTTTCAAGTGAAAAAAAAGTACCAGGCGAATATGGACATATACAGAAAAGACAACTATTATACGCACTAAAGAATCTATGTGTAGCAGGATTGAAGTGTCCTAATGGTACATTCAGGCCAAGTTATTTGTAGATGCTAGAACAAAGAATTGGCAGCAGTACGCTTCGTGCACAACCACACATTGAATCAAAGATAAAATGTGGAAGAGGCAGTATAATTGTATACTATCTATGATGAACACGAGTGGTTTCAGGTTTAATGACACTGATAACAAAATCAAGGTCAATTTTGATGATGTTTGGGAAGAGTATTTAAAGGTAATTTGGTCTGATATACCACTTTTTAATTAATAGAGGTTTTTTGTTATTTTTAGTACTCCACTTATTCGAGGCATGTTCTTTTATGGTATAATTTTTGTAGAAGGATATGTAGGTTAAGAGGATGCGTGAAAAATGTTGGTCATACTACAAAGATTGGGGATTTATTTTTGGCAAAGATCACGCAATAGGAGAATTTGAGAAGGATCTTGATGAAATGTTTGGAGGGAATGACAATAAGGAAGCAGACCAAACCCAACAAGCATTAACATTGAAAATGAGACAAATGAGGCAAGTCATAGTACGACTCAAGGCATGAATGTTTCCACTGACAACCCCACTACCAAAAAGACGAAGAAGAGAAAGGCTTCAACAGCTGCCGAGGTCATTGTACGTAGCTTGGGTGATATGACAAGGGTCTTAGGTGATTATGTTGATACTTGTGGGCNAATGACAATAAGGAAGCAGACCAAACCCAACAAGCATTAACATTGAAAATGAGACAAATGACGCAAGTCATAGTACGACTAAAGGCATGAATGTTTCCACTGACAACCCCACTACCAAAAAGACGAAGAAGAGAAAGGCTTCAATAGCTGCCGAGGTCATTGTACGTAGCTTGGGTGATATGACAAGGGTCTTAGGTGATTATGTTGATACTTGTGGGCGTAAGCTCAATAATATTGCACATAGGGTAGGCCATGCCCAAGATGTTTCTGAATCGAGGAGAAGAATCTTTGCTGAGCATGAGAAAAGTGGGTGGCTTGATGAGGATCTACTCTATGAGGCTGGTTACAGAATTGTCTCTGATCCGGTTAAGGTGGACTTATTCTTTAGCTTGTCTGACGCTTCAAAGTCTTCTTGGGTAAGGAAGTTGTTGTACGGATCGAGCCACCAACAAGTGTAGGGGTTAAGTATGGTATTTTTTTTTTTTTTTGACTTGATATAGGTGAAATTAGTCATATAGACCTTATAAAGTAGCATTGTATACTCTCCACTTTTTTTGCTTGTTTACCTATGCCCGTATGTAAAATATGGTTACGTCATGTTTGTTGGAAGACAAGTTGGTGTCTATACGACATGACAAAAATGTTATATGCAAGTGAATAGGTACCTGNTTTTTTTGACTTGATATAGGTGAAATTAGTCATATAGACCTTATAAAGTAGCATTGTATACTCTCCACTTTTTTTGCTTGTTTACCTATGCCCGTATGTAAAATATGGTTACGTTATGTTTGTTGGAAGACAAGTTGGTGTCTATACGACATGACAAAAATGTTATATGCAAGTGAATAGGTACCCGAGCACATGGTACAAGTTTTATGATTCGTACGATGACGCTGAAAACGCATTGCGCACGTCCATTGAGAATGAAGATGTAGTCAGAGATGTCCAACATGAATGTGAAGTGGTTGTCCATCAAAATCAACCTCTGGATAATCTTTGTGTAGAAGATGCAATAGACATTCCTCGAGCAGCNACCCGAGCACATGGTACAAGTTTTATGATTCGTACGATGACGCTGAAAACGCATTGCGCACGTCCATTGAGAATGAAGATGTAGTCAGAGATGTCCAACATGAATGTGAAGTGGTTGTCCATCAAAATCAACCTCTAGATAATCTTTGTGTAGAAGATGCAATAGACATTCCTCTAGCATCCCCAGCAGTTGTTGGGTGCGATGACGAGGTCGAGGGAGACCGTAATGTCGGTAACTATCTCATGTATGTTGTGATGTTTGTTTTGGGTATGGTACTAACCCATATTCTTTACTTTTTTTTGGGTAGACTTTCTTGAACTATGTTTGTATTTTGTTTGGCACCTTTTGGACAATATTTATGGTTAGTGTTTGTAATGTTACCTCCTATGTTTTGACATTAAATAGGGAATGTATGAATATGGGATGACAACCCAACACNATTTTGTTTGGCACCTTTTGGACAATATTTATGGTTAGTGTTTGTAATGTTACCTCCTATGTTTTGACATTAAATAGGGAATGTATGAATATGGGTAACATTATGAATGGATTTCTTTTGTAAATGCTATTTGTGTTATGATATGATTGTACTGTTTAATGAATTTGTATAAATTGGTGGTGTCAATGGTTTGTGCAATTGGTTTGCACAATATTATGTAGAAAATGTAGGTTCCTCGAATTAGTGATGTGGAAAGTGAAGTGTTGATGGCGTTGTTGCTTCGAAACAAACAATGGGGCATAGTACTTGAACGAGGCAACATGACAACCCAACTCTTCAGGGATGTGTTAATGCGCATGAAAAGGAGACTGCCTAGATTTTACATTGATCAAACTGATCTTGTCAAGATTATTTTTTTCTGGAAAAATCAATACTTCACTATCAAGGATATGTTGAAGACGAGGATGTTTGCTTGGGACTCGACTGACTCATGCGTCATCGATGGGCCTATCGCTGGAGCGCATGACTACCTTGTGGTAAGTGTTTATTTCAAAACTATATTAATGAATATCATCTTATGTCTCTTTGTTTAACTTGTTTTCACATTCGCTTGAATTCTTGATGTGTTTAAGAGTGATTAACTTGTAGGTAAACAAGTTTGCAAGAACACATTGCATTGATCCATGTCATTTGTTCGAGAAAATGATGGAGGTTTTCGACAACGTGTCCCCAAAAGAGCTGATTGAAAGTGTGGGCTCCTGTTCAGGTGGTGATCCAGTAGAAGACATAGAGATTATCGATGTTTCTGATTAAGCTTAGTCCCTATCAGAGTATGATTGTATGTAAAATATGCTTTCCACATGCTATTTTGGTTTTTTTGGTATGAATGCGTGTGGTAGTAGTTNATTAAGCTTAGTCCCTGTCAGAGTATGACTGTATGTAAAATATGTTTTCCACATGTTATTTTGATTTTTGGGTATGAATGCGTGTGGTAGTAGTTGTTGTTCAAGAGTCCTAGGGAGCTTCATTTTTTGAGAATCCCCTTAGCCTGTTTATATTATGTAAGTAAAAAAGCTTACAGTGGATGTTTTAAAAGTGCTTGTGGAGCCAGCTGTTATGGATATTTGGTGGCTCTTAGCTCCTTGCATTGGTATCTTATATTTAGTGGCAGTTGATGTGCTTGATGCAGTATATAGTTTTAATGGTGAAAAAAGTTTCATGGTGTATTTATTGCTTTTCTAACACTTTTTGTTATGAACTTCCTTTAAATATCAACTTTATCTTTCTTTTGACTTGTTCACCTCTCAAAATTCCACAGAAGTAAACAAGAAAACAACCTAGGAACAACCTAGGTTTACTTTATATTATTATTCTCTGGTCAATTCGTGACAGCTCCAAAGACAATGCCGAAAGAAGAAACATAAAAGAAACTCTTATCATGCATGTGTTACTTAATTTCTTTTGACAAAATATTAATGCTTTCCATGATTTGATTTAGGCTTTGGCCTATTATGATGATGGAGGTATAGTAAGTTTTCTCAAGATTCGGTGGAAGAGTTTTACCAATCCGACTAGTGGGGACTATTGAGCTAGTTTAAAAAAAAAGAGAGCCTTCATGAACAGTTATATACTTTAGTGAAAGGACAAGTATTTCAATTCAACAATTAATATTAAAATCAGGGCATAAATTCGAGTCGCAAGGTAATTGTCGAGGAGCCATAGGTTTAATAAACCAGTTACTAAAATTGCTCAATTTTGACATTCTATACCACTTTTAGGCATGTTATGTTAAACTAGGGGTGTTAAACTAGGGGTGTAATTTGGTCAGACCAACGTGAATTCAATCCAAGTCCAATCCAAAAAATACAGGACTTGGGTTATAATTTTTAATATTTGAGTTGGAAATGGACAAAAAAATCTCAACTCGAATTGAATTCAGGTAGGTCTCGGGTTGAACTGGATTATTAAATCGGGTTGAACCTGAATGTACATAAACATAAAAATATATTTAACTAAAGTTAGTATTTATCTTCACTGTTCGGAGTTTAGACTTTCATTTCGTTTCAAGTCTTCACTCATGCGCCACTATCACTCTCAAATCCCTCTCTCACTCGTTGCTTATCTCTTATCTGGTCTTAGACTCTTAACCTTCCTCTCTCCCTCATCTGAGTCTCGTCTAAGACTCTCAGCCTCCCTTTCTCACTCATTACTCTTCCATCTTTTATCAACCCGAATTAAGTAACCTGAGCCTAATTTGATTTTTAACTCGAATTCAACCTAAGCCCGCACGAATTAAACTCAGGCAATACTTGAGTTAAGTACTTCGGGTTGAGGTACGATTAATGTTATGATTAGAGTTGAATATTATATACCTAGGGTTGATCTCTCAACCCGCCCGAGTTGCACCTCTATGTTAAAACAACTATCTATTATAAAAACTTAAGCTATTAGAAAAGAATATAACTTAAATATTTATATTTCAATACATTCCCTTACGTACAAGCTAGATTTTAAGCCTAACACATGAAATTTTTTTTAATAATTAGGGTGGTGACGAGATTCGAACACAAGACCTCCTATTTTGATACCACATCTACTTCAAAAACTTAAATGATTGAAAAGAGAGTGAAACTTAAGTATGTATTTTAACATGTCATGCTCATATATATTTTTTTCCTAGAATTTAGATAATGGCCCAATAAAAAAAATTGATATTACTATGAAACTCAAAACACTCACAAGAACATACAAAATATGCTCACAATGGTTAAAGTACTAGACCAATAATGGGTCATAGTAATGATCCAAGTTTTACATCTGGACAGCAAAAATCAACAAAGTTCAGTGAATTGGGCCAGATGCAACAGCTACCAAACAGCCCATACTACTCAAAGGAAACTCTACCCATTGGGCCAAGCACATAATAAGATTATGGAACAAGTATGAAGCAGAACCAGGGGCACCTAAATAGAATTGGGCCCTAAGGAAAAGTTTGGAACCACACCCTTTTACAATATATTATGAATATGTATAATAATACTCTAGTTTTATGTAAAAATTATTCTTCTTATTTTTTTAATGTAAAATTACTAATTAAATTTTTATATTTAATGTTTGCTAATATATCACTTTCAATAGATATTATAGTTAATCCATTTAATTTTTTTGTGACATAATTGGTTGTAAATAAAAAATTTTTAATTTTAATTTTAAAATTTTTTTTTCTATACAAACAACTGTAATAGGTATTATCAACAAAATTTTATGAACGATACTTGTATTTGGGGATGAATCTAACTATTGGTATGGATTGACATTAAGGAAAAGAGAGAGAGTAGTGGCTTGAGAGGAGTTCACCATTAGTTGTAGAATTTTGGAAGGAGTGAGGGATAAAGAGTTAGCTTGGAATTTTTATTTTTGAATGGGTTTGGCCTAAATTTAACAAACGGAGGAAACTATTTCTCATAAATACCTTAATTAAGGTATGCGTAAATTGGTCTGGACACATCTAACTATTAAACCGAAAAACAAAAAAACACGTATGAAGCAGAAACTAGGGGCTGAATTTTCTTGGCCCAGAAACCCATTGCAGAAAATCTGCCCCAGGATCCGGCCAAATTCTCGGGTCATGGTGCTCCTATGTCATTGGCCAAATCAAGGGAGGTCATCGAGGCTTTTAAGTGAGCCAAGCTAGTTGATATCGACTCCTACCTCGTTCATTTAAAAGTTCGCTAGAAATCAACTAATGAGATAAAATCAACTAATGAGATAAATGGACTAAGATTTAGCACACGATATAACTCATGAAATTAGTATGTTAGAATCGAGAATCGAGTTAAGCCTATTTTAACTTCAAGTTCATTGGTGATTGGTACTATAAATAGAAGGCCAAGTTAATTGATTTGCATTGTGATGAGTTCCACTAAAAACTAACTCGAAACCAATTTGAAACTATTAAAAATTAGAAAACCAAGTATATGTAACTTTCATCTCAACTCGACTTAACTAATCCTAAAAATTCCTCCAATAATAGAGGAAAAGACTAAAGAAAAAGCAAGGTGTAACTATTATCATAATGGATGTATTAAACTTATACCTCCTAAACTATCACTTTTTTTTTTTTTAATTTTGCCCTCTCAACTATTAAATTTCTCATATTATATCTTAAATTATGTGATTAGTTTTACATTGCACAAATTATTAACGTATGTTATATATTTAATGAAAAATTATTTCATTTTATCTCCTAAAAATTATATAATTTTTTTCACTTTACCTTGACACATCAACCATTTTTGACTAAAAAGATAACAAACGTAAGTGATTTGGGCGATGTGAAACAAAAGTGTTAGTTTAGGATGTAATGTGAGAAATTTAATAATTAAGGGGACAAAATAAAAAAAAATGGTGATAGTTTGGAGGTGGGGAGTAAGTGTAATTTAGTCTATTACAATGGTGATAATCACCGTCATAAAAAGTTAGTTTGCCACTACACCGAGTGGGAATCATTAGTACGTAACCTAGTACAACTTGTCCAAGTTCTCTCTAACATGATTGGAAAGCTCCAAGAACAATCCAACCCAAAACCTCACGGTATTTGTGTTAGTGCTTTTCAATATCATTTTCTAACTTTAGAAGATAATCGGGTAGGTACTGTTTCCTCTTTGTATCTTTCAGTTACTGTGTTTTTCTTAGACCTTAAGGCTCAAGACAAACATTTTTGTTCATGCATGATGTAGGAAATATTCCTTCAGTTTTTGGTTTCAATCAGTGTAGGGGGGGTCCGGCAAGAGCCAGGGGTGGGCCACGGACCCAGACAACCGGGCCGTGGACTTGAAAACGAGGTAGACCAGGCTAGCTGATAGAATAAGTCTACGTCCTGTCCATTGGGTCAGTCCCAATGGGTTTTAACGGGCTCCCTATCTACAAAATGTGACAAAATATGACACGATTCGTTAAATAATGTGAACGAGATATGAAGTTAAAAGGTTTATGCTTTTTTTAAATCACCCATTTCGTAAGCAAGGAGACATGATATGACACAATTAATAAATAAATCGGGTATGAATGAAGTCAATTAAAAAAATATATATGACACGACTCGNCATTTCGTAAGCAAGGAGACATGATATGACACAATTAATAAATAAATCGGGTATGAATGAAGTCAATTAAAAAAAAATATATGACACGACTCGTTTATATACTGGTTACAGACGATTCATACATGACACGAACTCGATCTGACACGACTCGTTAAACACGAATTAATAAACCAAGTAGGTATGAGTGAATTATTTATTGATACAAATTCACTAAGACTCAATACAAATCCGTTTCACCCGACATGATTGCCTGCCGATTCTAATAGATCATATTTTTTCAAAGTAATTTTGTTTTTCAAATTTTACCTTTAACTTATTTTGTTAAATTTAGTGGTGCAGGCCACAGGCTTTAACCCACGGGCCACCATCAACCGTTTTAATTGGGCTTAGCAGGTTGAAGAATAGCATTTGTGGCACTTATTCGTGACATAGGCTAAATCAGTAATAAACTCGGAACCTATGATTAAGATTTTCTACAATTAGTGATGACAGTGGTTCAGGACGAGAGTGGGTCGGAGGAATAGTTTCTATCTCCGTATCTATTTTAAAAATATTTGTCAATCCTCTGTCTACCTTCGTTAGCGAAAAAAATTTTAATCTCCATCTTCGCCTCGAGGGTAAATTAAAAAAAAAATCATACAACCTCACAAATGAATTTGTAATATATATATAGTGGGGTGGGGAGGGGTGAGAATGAGTTTCAGTCCA